ATCTTCAAACTTATCTAGTTAACATTCCCATAATATCAAATAGCTATATCCTCAAACTTATCTAGTTAACATACCCATAATATCAAACATCAAGCAGCTATATCCTCAAACTTATCTAGTTAACAGATACATCTGTGTCTACTTTCTAATGTTCTTTCCACACCTAATGTGCCTATCTTTTAGTGCCTTTTTTCTTTTTCCAATAGAGAAAAATATTATTTAATTACAAATATAAATATATTATACAGAATAGTTTAGTTGCCTCAAATATGGATCTAGATGTAACTAAAGGGACAAGTGATTAGCACATTAATCGTGTGCCTGCAGCCTCTGTAAAAGCTGCTAATTTTTCAGAGATTTAATGACTACTGTGGCTTTAATTTTACCTCAAAAAGATCATCCCCATACGAGAAATTGTGGCTGGGGAAGCACAGCTCAGGTCATGCGTTTCAAACAGGAAGTTAACATTAGGTCCAAACTGAATTCGTTCTCCCGAAGGCATGGTTAGCAAGCGATTATCATCAAGCACCGAGTTCAGTGATTCAATCCATTCAGGATCAATATCTCCATCACAAATTATCCACGAGTGGACATCTGAAAAATATACAAAAGAGGTGACTTACTACCTGTATTTTAAACAATGTCCTCACACATAACTGTTTCTATCTATTGTAACATTTTAAGTACATTTACCAACCTTGAGGTTCTTTCACAACCTGTCTGGCACTGGTAGTCAGCACCCCATCATGCCATTCCCTGGTGTCTATATCAATGTGTCCGAGCAGCTGTAAAGAAGAGACCAATATTTTTAAAATGTTTGGAACATGTAGAACTGGACCCCATACTATATTATTATATATCAGCAAATGTCTTACCATGAAAACACTTGATTACAATGATGTTCTGAAGTATATTAGTATATAAAAGACCAAGTTGACCAACCTTGTATAGTGTTAGGGTAGAGAAAATAACAGGTAAAATATAGTTTTATTAAAACAAACATTTTTTTTTAGATGAAGAAAAGTATTTTTAATCTTAACATGAAAATCACTTTACACAAGGGCTAGTCGAAACAAATACTCACTATATACATGGACAAATGTTTTTTTAGTTCATTAAAAATAATTCACTAAAAAATATGATTTTTTATATGTGAAAGACTTATAACATTTACTGAAAGGCTGCCAAATTTTGTGAAGATATACACACTGTATTAAAAGTTAGAAGTATTAAATCTATAAAGATTTTATTTGAGTCCAAAGAGGTCACATGGTCAGTCAAATCAAACTAGGCCGTGTTGAGAGAGTTACGGAAGATAGTTTACCAAGACATGCAGAAGTATCGAACATTCTTAAATATTTGTTTGATTATAGTGATACTCTAGTAACAATCAACCAGTTTATGAATCAATGGAACTGCCAAAAAAGCACTAGGCAAAACATATAAGAGAGATTTTGGACATTAAAATCTTTAAACTGGAACTGAACAAGCTGTCAAGTACTGGTGAGCTCCTTTTGAAAATATAATGAAAATAATGCATTTTACATTTACTAATTATTCTTCACTCCCTAATGGTTTTCAACTTTGTAAGATAAAGTTTAAAAGTTTTAATTTACAAAAGGAATTGATGTTATTCTAATATTTATGTTGTTTGACTTTAAGCCTAGGCTAGTTGAAGAATATAAAAAAATACTGGTTTTTACTTTGGCTAAGTACTTGTTTGTCTAATAAATAAAATGAGTTATGGCTATTCATTTCCCTACATTGATTACAAATCATCTAAGTAGCTACAACACTTAAAACCCAAACATTCTCACATATACCATTATAAACATGTAAAACAATACTATCTGAAGTAACAAGTCTGAAAAAAGTGTACATAGTATTGTTGCAACACACTAGCGAATCTTCTAGAATACTCGTCACGTGACCCCGCTGTCGTAGCGACCCCCCACTGTCGTAACAATACTATCTGGAGTAACAAGTCTGAAAAAAGTGTACATAGTATTGTTGCAACAGGTAATTGATAAGCACATAAATCGTTTATTGTTTAACAAGGTGCTTCCATTCTTTTATGATACATTTTCAGCTACAAAGTTTAGGAAACTTAGTTCTAAATGATTGTACCTGAAGTCTGAAGACAAGGGTTACTCTGCCTTTTAATATCTTTTGCCACTTGATAAAATTTGTCTCTAAGTTTTGTGCTCATCAGGTGGTACTTGCAAGTATAAAAATAGAAAAACAAACTAACCTGAACTCGTGGCATAGCTTTTGGGTTCATTAGGTGGTGCTTGATAGAGTGGTTCATGTTTATCAAGGCCTGCTGTAGTACTCTCCATAAAGTTGACTTACCAGAGCCACTCGGCCCAACAATAACAACTCCCATTCTCTGTTGAAGCTGCTCATAAAGTTCAAGAATCTTTTTTACCTGAATAAAAACAACTGTATGTACTACCATATGTAATGTTATTTCAATATGAAAATTTGTCAGTATTAGATAAATTAGACAATGTTTAAGTATAGATGACTTCTAGAAAGGAAACAGAAATTCACTTAAATCACCTTATTTAACAAAGAAACCAACAACATAATAAATTAATTTAAATCACTGTAAAAATGCATTCTTCTCATTCCCTTTGTCTATTGAGGCTCAAAATCAGAGTTGTTTAAGAATAGCATTTCAGATACATCTTTTAACTTCTACAAGTTGCTGCCCAAGAGGCTTTTTGTTCAATACTAGAAATAATCAACTGGGCTTGACAATGAGAGACAAAATACTGTGTGAAACACTATTTATATATGGAACATAATGCTTTAAAAGTTACAGTTTAAAAGTTGAAAGTCAGTGACCTATTGGAAAGTAACAGGCCAAAAATTGTTTTAAAATACAAGTTACATACAAATGTTTTTTTTTTCCACATTCGTCTGATTTTATCAATTGAGAACATTATAATACAAATACTCAAGTAGAGATACAGCTATAAAAGTAAGTGTTTATAATAAATGAAATACGGCTCTATCTTGTAAATATCAATTAAATGAAATGTAGGTTTATCTACCAAAGTGCACAATATACATTTCATTTTCTTCAAATCATATAAATGTTGGTAAAGTTTGGTACTCAACACAAAATATAAAAGCAAATAAATCAATGTTATATCCTAAATGCTATGAAGACAAAGAGTTTTGAAACGTCGTCCTCTACACTTGTGTTTTTTACAAAAGACGGTTACCATCCATTCCAGTCTACTTATCATGAACACTCTATCTATAAAATCTATCAAATAAACAATTCTTTTATCTTTATAGCTGTTAGATTACAACAGAAGAGACATAAGATCACTCAACAACAATTAAAATTCTACCTGTGTCTCGTTTACAGTAAGTTTTTGTTCAGTAAAAATCTGTCGCACAGTCTCTGCTAGGCTTTCATATCCAACACCCTTAAAGGCTATCCCAGGAAATACATCTTGAACCAGTGCATCAAATCTTTGAGAATCTGCAAACGTTAGTTTAGACAGTGTGTTGACTCGAAGGGCTTGTACTACCAACTGACTCTCAAATGAGTCATCTACACTGACTGAAAGAAAGTAAAGGTTACAATATGAGTTATTGTACAGCTACACTTGTAGCAACATCTGAATCTAATACAACTACTGTTACTTTATACTACCAGTTGAGACATTTATACTGACTGAAAGAAAGTAAAGGTTACAATATGAGTTATTGTACAGCTACACTTGTAGCAACATCTGAATCTAATACAACTAATATCACTTTATACTACCAGTTGAGACATTTATACTGACTGAAAGAAAGTAAAGGTTACAATATGAGTTATTGTACAGCTACACTTGTAGCAACATCTGAAACTAAT